CATCTGGATCTGCTCTCATTGGTGACCTCCACATTGGCCAGTTGATGCTAGTTTATTTAAATGGGGCTTCTATGTTTGATATCACTTGCTTTCTACTTATAGCAGTTTTCTTTGTTTTCTGTGGTTCAACTACTTCTCTGTTTTCATTCACTTTGATTGACCCGTTTGTTTGTAGTCTATGTCCTGCCTCACCCTTAAACGATGGTGCTCCCCAGCTTTGTGCTCAGGCTTCTCTTCTCCCTTACATACTTCCCCTGAATGCCTCTAACCATGTCTTCAGTTTCCACTTAAATGGTGAAAATTCCGTCATCTGTCTTGCTTGTCCAGAACACTCTGCTGGATCCATTAAACTGTGACCAGCACACAGTAGGGATTTAATAAATACTTGTCGAATGTGTGAATATCTTAGTATCCTACATGTTATATCCATTTCCTCATTCCACCCTGCCTCACTCTTCCTCCTGTAACACCCATGCACGTAAATTATCCATTGCAAATTCAGTCACTGAAGCAGCAATCGAAAACCCCCACGTCTGATCAGTCCCCAAGTTCAATATGTTCTACCTATGATATACCATTTGTGTCCCGCCTTCCTCTTGGGAGCTACGTATGAGCCCAGGCTCCCTCACTCCAGAGTAACTGCAGAGACCTTCCCATTCGTGGTTTTAGAACCTTCAGTTTATCCTCTATGTATCTGCTAAACTGAAATTTCAAAAGAGAGAATCTGATGCCATCACTTACAAGGTTAAAACCTTTCAGTAATTCTTTAAATTTGTTTATCTAAAATTTGAGTAAGTTAACATCACAGAGTGTTACATGATCTAGTTTCTGTCTCCCTGTTGTCCCCCCCTTCCTTTTCTCCAGGCACTTGGAGCACCTTAGAATGTTCTGTACAAGCCTCTGCAGAGAATGCAGTTCCTACTCTTCCTCTTCCGGTTAATTAACTTCCAAATGTTCTTCACTACTCTTCTGAAGATTCATTTATTTCAGGGGCCATTCTGCCATCCTGAGTCTGATTTAGGACCCCACCTTCTATGCTCCCGTGCCATGCTGTACACACCCATCAAAGAAATAGTAACACAGAGTCACTAGATATTTGTTTCTTGATGTTAAAAAAAAAAAAAATCCACGAAGTCTTATTTGACTTCTTATACCAAATCAAAGGACAGGACTAATGCAGTAGACTCCCAACAGTGCTTGTTACATGATGAAAGAGAATTCCATGCATGCCTAAATGGACACTCCCAAGACTACTTATTGGTGGGACATTTGCTTGAAGGAAAGTAGTGGGCTCTTGCTATACTTTCAGTCTTCTCTTTCTGTGTCTCTTCCCTTTGTTGTTCTTTTCCTTTCTAATCTACATCAAATGAGCGAAGGTCTGATACCTGTGCTTTGGGAAATTTGTGGCAGGAGTGGGATTCAATCACTGTCATTTTCCCCATCAGTTATCCTTCAAGATAGTTTATATCTAGTTGTGAAAGGAAAAACGAGATTCCCAAGTAGAGTAATTTTAGGGCATAAAACCTCCTGGTCCTTGCTTTCTTTCTTGTAAAGTTAGTCTTTAATATAAAGCTTAATCCTTTCACGTTGCCTAGAATGTATTCAGAGATTTTCTCTGCAGATTGTTTCATCTGCCAGTTAATTCCTGGGTACTTCTGGGAACTGAAGGGAAAAAGCATCTGAGGGGCAGTCACTGAACTCAGAGACAGTCAGTCCATCAGTTCTATGGATGTCTGGGTTTTGTTTTGTTTTCTCTAAACCAATGATTCTTAAATTTTTGTTTGAAAATTATCTGAGTAAATCTATAAAGTACAATTTTCAGGGCACCATTCCAAAAAATTCTGATTCATAAGATCTGTGATAGGCTCAGGGAATCTGCATTTTAACAAACTTGACTGGAAGATTCTAGAATATTCTAATGCAGATGGCTCATACCAATTTGAGGAAGCAGTGAACTTCCCTTTTATTGTCTCCATCCAACCAGAAGATGGAGCTTCCCTGAGGTTCTACTTACTCTAACTCTTTCCTTCCCTTGACTCCATATTCACCAGATTCTGGGAGATAAAAGGCATCATTTCCTGTGGTCTCACACCACCTGTTCGACCTCAGCCTCACAGTATCATTTCAGTCACTAGCCACGTGGATTCTCCATTACTTTGGGATCTAAAAGTTTTAGTCACCTCGTCTTCACCAGGACATAGGGCATGGCCAAGAAGGAGGCCGCAGCAGAATACACTGCCAACAGGACCTCAGAAGGAAAGGGAGTCCCCTGGGGTCCTCACGCCCCAGCCACGGGATAGTGGATGTGTGAAGAAGAGGAGAGTATCAATTTTGAATCATTCATTCCAAAATCTTTGTTTTCACATTGAACATGCGCTTGAGATAGCCACAAAAAAAAATAAAATTTCTCCCGAAGTGAAATCATGACTGATGCCAATGCAGAAGAGAGAAAAGTCCCCAAAAGTTTGATTTAAAAATGGCATTCAGAGATTTTGAATCATTACTAATTCATAATCCCTATGCAATGCAACAATTAGTATGCATTTACAAGAGATGCATTAGATGGAAGACATGATCTATGTCAGTGTTTGTAAATTTTGTTTTATCACAGCACTTCATTTCCAACATGTTTAAATTTCCTAAGTGTTCCTGTGACATGCTCACAGCTTACAAAACAATAACAAGAGAGGAGGCATCCTGTCCCATTGCAGATCCAGACAAACAGATGACGAGCTGGTCTGGCTGTGCATACAGACGACTCTGGTCCTTTCTAGTCTTTCACCCCTCTGGCTGCCTTTTTCATGTCAGTGACAAAGGTGGTACATTTAGTACATCCTGAATACCAAGCTGACACTTCTTTGAACCCTACCCGGCACTTTCTCCTTTTGTTCTGATCTTCATACACTATTTAAAGAGTAATAGCAGTACCAAGAATTCAGAGAGTAAATGATTTCCCTCTTTAATTCTACATTTCTTTAAGAAAGGAGTTCTTTCTTCCTCAAGCTGGTTTCTTTTTTTAATGAAAAAGCTAATTGTCCTTTAAAGCAACATTTTTTTTTGCATTTTGTAATAAAACTAGGAAGTAATTTAGTAACTTTCTAATAGTAAGTTAATGAGTTTTATCCACAAGCTAGTATCATGTGGTGCATATTTTTTATGTGTACATAATGTTTCTAAACTGAGCCCAGTTGATTTTTTTTTTTTCTTTTTTCAGCAAGAAAGAGAGGCTAAAAACAGACTCATAGCTCCCCAATGTGCTTAATGGGAGTATTTAACAGCATCCAAACATAGTCACTGTGCACATGGAAAGTTTTTTGCCACAAAATGACAAGGATCAGACACAAATCACTATGTTAGGTATCAGAAAACCTTGTATTTCTTCTGTTCCCACTGTGCTGGTTGTCCTTGGCTAATACGGAACTTATTTTCTTGACCCTTGCATGACTGAAGAATGCCAGTAGGTAGTCTGAGTAGCAGGAGGTCCAGGCACCACTGTAAACCTACATGAAAGTTTGTTTCTTTGCTTGTCTTTAATCACACCCCGTAGCTTCATGAGGTAGATAATCACCTTGTCAAAGCATTATAATGGACTGTGTTATATTGGGAGAGTCTTGATATAAAAGACACAAACTGGGCACATTTCTGAGGGAAGAAATAATGACTTGGATGAGGTAAATTATAGGCAAGGGATGCCACCTAATGTCCATTATATCCTAAAACACAGGGCATGTCTGCTGCCATTGCCATGCCCAGAGATCGCAAACATGTGTACATGTATGTGGCATCAAAATTGTCCACACTCACATTTACAGATGTGATATTTTGAGATGGGGTTTTCTGGAACCACCAGGGACCATTTTTACTGAAAGAGAGAATTCTGAAATATTTTTTTACAGATTTAATCTTCCATCAGCAGTGTAAGAAAGGGCATCTATATGGACCAAAAGTTCATACAACGATACTGCCTGTGTTACGGTTTTGTCTTCTAGTTGGGCTGTCTGCAGTATAGGTCAGAGTTTCAGATCTATCCCAGAATCTGGCCATATTCCACTTTCATAAGATACTTTTCCTGTAACTAAATTTAAAAAATCAAGGCAGGAGGAAAAATTTCATGATAATATCACAAAGAGAAATTTTATACATTAGTTAAATTTGTTAGCCATTAGGAAAGATAAGAATTTTTATTTCTTTTTAGAGAATCTTAAATTGAATCTAAGTCAGGATACGCCCTTACTCTCCAGAGGCCAATATTTCCAACTTGAATATGACCTTTGGCCAACAATTCCAATTCTGGAATTGTACAGCAAGGATTAAGTAGACATATTTACAAAGATTTATGTATGATTTTCATCTCAGCATAGTTTTGGATAATAAGAAATAAGAGTACATTTTCATATCTATCAATAGCAATATAGTAAAATAAATGATGATGTAATCACATCCTAGGAAGCCCTTAAAGTCACAAAACAGAGCTATATTGTTTGACAGAGAAAACACACAAAGTCCACTCTATGTGACATAGAAAATGAAACTAAGATCAGAACTCATAGTTTAAGAATATATATCCATAAAATACAATAAACTTTTAAGTGACTCTTACCAAATGAGGGGATTATGTGTCATTTTAATACTCCTTTTTTGTTTTTATGTTTTGTCTTAGTTGTATTTAAATAAACTATTTTTATAATAAATGAAAAACATTTCCACTTTTTAAATGTGGTAAAGAGGAATAAAATAGAAATAGAAAAGACCCAATATTAAGTCTCTAATCATATTTGAAATATCTATTTATTTGTACAAATACCTAAATGGATTGTGAACTCCTCAAGGAAGGAGACTGTGTTAATTTTCTTTTACTCCCCATAGGGCTCTGCAAAAGGGCAAAGAGTAGATGCATGGTGAATATGTTTTGAATTAATGTGTAGCCTCTGTTACATGGCTTTCCCTCTCCAAGTCTCGTTTTTTTCATCCACAAAATAAACGTAAGGTTGTCTACCCACCTCACTGGGGATTGCTGTGAGGCCCAAACGAGACAGTACACGTTGCCTATAAAGCACTCCATGCATGCAAAGGAACATTCGTTTTAACCACAGTGGTTGTACTCACAGCCATGATGAAGCAAGTTGTGCCCTCATCCTCAGGGACGGCTCAGGGCAAGATTGTGAAGCCAGCACAAAGTACCAGCTGCCCACCCAGGCCTGCCTTCTTCACTGTGGAGATGCCCCTCTTCCTCTGTGCCATGTGCCTTCTTGCTTATCTCCAGCTCTCATCTGGATTTAATCTCATGAAAACTGGGACTTGGGTTTTAACTTGCTCCTGCTGGGATTTGCATTCTCACCAGAGAGAAGAAATTGCAATCTACTTAAAAACTGTACCATATGTATAGATTCTATCCTATAGACATCTGCCATATATGTTATACACACACACTTTTATATATATATAGTTTTCCAATTTTCTAACATATATATATATCTATATACACACACATATATATATATAAAACATATGCATAATATTAGGAATCTGGAAAACTATTTTAATCAGGACAAAGTCACAAACTAAACCAAGTCACATGCCTCAGGGAATGCAGTTTATTGGAGTGTTTAGAATAGCATGAGGTTAATTAGGTCAGGATTCCTGGAAAAGTGAGATCTAACCCAAGTCAATTTGTGTGTTATGTTGATCGGAAGGAGAAGATCATATAATCTAACAAGAATTTACCCACACCAAGCACAGAAAGGAGAATGGGCCCTGCCAGTTTTAAGACCAAACCCCATCTTTGGTGCGTCTCTCCCCTCGCACCCCACATCCAGTCCATGAGCTCCTCACCACCTCCGTCCCTTCTGCTCTGGATCAGACACCACTGTCCCTTACTGATGATGGCAGTGGCCACCTGCCCACTCCCACCCATGCCAACTGCAGTCTACTCTCATCACAGCAACAAGAGTGATCCTGTTAAAATATGTGTTCTGGTCACATCAGACCCCTTCTCAAAGACCACGGCCTCCAAGACCCTAACCTCTCCCCATCTGCTGTTGGCTTGTGCTGCCCTCCCCCTTGCTTACTCACCCTCTCTCAACTGGAGACCCGGATGTCTGGCTGCTCCATGAGCATATCCGGGGTCATTGCATTTGTGGTTCCGCAGGATACCCAGCTTCATGGTGAGCTTTATGAAACCCGCCCTGTCTCTGTTCTGATGTCACCTTTGCACTAAGACCTTCCTTGACAACTGTTTATGACGGTAATTACCTCACCTCAGTCTTCCTTCTGCTCCTTCCTGCTTTATTTTTTCTTCACAGCACTTTTCACTTTTTAGTATGCCATATGATTTACTTAGTCATTGGCTCTCTTACTCGTCTCATGCAACTGGAATATAGATCATGTGAGTTCAGGAAGCTTTGCCTGTGTTGTTCATTTTTGTATCCCCAGCATTTAAAGTAGTGCCTGGTACATGGGTAGGTCCCTAGTAAATATTTGTTGGATTACAAGTACTGGGAACAACAAGGAAACTAGTTTGAAGAGACGTGGCTGAAACTAGACTTACTAGAAGTTAGCTCAATAGATTTCCACTTGGAAAATATTGAGGACGTGCACATTAAGATAGCAATTATGGGGTGGTATACTGATAATTAAATTAAGAGTAGAAACTAACGTAAGTTTTAAGTATAGATCCTAAAATAAATAGTCCCAAATAACTTCTTCCTGGAAAATAAAATCTTACTCTATTTCTGTTTTTGTTTTCTTTTTAATGTCCAGTTTCCCAGTCATTATTTATTTATTTGGCAGAGAGAGAGAGAGAGAGATCATAAGTAGAGAAGTAGTCAGAGAGAAAGGGGGAAGCAGGCTCCCTGCTGAGGAGAGAGGCAGATATGAGGCTTGATCCCAGGACCCTGAGATCATGACCCGAGCCGAAGGCAGAGGCTTAACCCACTAGGCCCTCCAGGAGCCCCTAAAATCTTACTCTATTTCTGTTATTACAGCAGATACAGAGGGATTTAGAAAAATCTAGATAAGTTAATAAGAGATCACAAATTTTTGAAATGTTATAAGAAAACTTAATAAAACTCTTAGAATGAGAATGGGAAAAATGAACAAACAAGTATTTCCAGGGGTTGATAAACATTATCTACTGCTAACCATATGTTTTGTACTTTTTTCAAAAGCTACTCATGTGTAGAATGACAACAGCAAACGAACAAATTATTCATAGGCTCAGAATGACTCACTATATACAGTTTACAAATTAATTAGCTTTGTCTTAATCTTTTCAATGGAAAAAGTGTTAAAGTGTTAGTTTATTGCTTACTTCAGTGTTAAAATGCTGGTTAATTGCAAAACAGTATTAGGGGCTAATATTAAAATTCCACTTACAAGCATCAGGGAAACAAAATGCACTTAAGGCAAATCCAACTAACTTTCCTAAGGCCATGTGTGCTAAAGGTGATGCAGGTTACCAGCTAGCGAGAGCACAGAGTTCCCAGGAAGCCTTTCTTCAGCCTAGATGGCATAAAGGGAAGAAGCAGTTGCCATTAATTTACATGGGAAAATGTTCGAGTGTTCCCAGAGCCCCCAAATAAGTTCCCTTAGGCTTTTTATATACCTCAGGACACATCTTTCAAACAGATGCACCAGCTAAATCAAGACAAAGCCCAGACGCTCACAGACACACCTCTGGTGGCTGGACGCCGGGGGGCTGAGTGTGGGTTCTGGGCAAGGTGCCGGGCTGTCTGGTGGCTGACACCGGGACACTGAATGTGGGTTCTGGACAAGGTGCCAACTTGGGTGCCAGCTGTGGAACAGCTTAGCACAGCACAACGCTGAATGCTGTTTTAGCTTTTCGCTTGTTTCTCACAGAGGTGAAGATCTTCTTAGGATTTCTTTTGATAGTGAAAACAGGCAGTAACGTAGGTCTTTCATAAAAGCAAGAGGTCATAGCACAAACTTTTGAAAAGCGGGGATACTGGTACTGCTCCAATACAAAACCACACTCTGGTGAGGTGTGTGAAGGAGTTTCTTCATTTGACTTACGTATGTATGGTCGTGTTTATACACACCCTTAGTGGCGTTAGTTTTAGCCACGAAATCATAAACAGTGGTGAACACTGTTTATAATCACCCTGCACTGGGGTTTGCAAACTCTGAGCCTTTAGTTTCAAGGGTTTTCTTCTTGCTAGCTCTCCTTGTCAGTCAGATAGCTGGATTCAGCCCCCAAATGTTTGTATTCAGGCCACCTTAAGAGGTGATGAATTTTATTAAGATTTGGAATCAGACCAGCTGAGGTATTTAAAAAAGAAAATTGTAAAATGGGATCTGAGGGCATTCACAGGGAGCTGCTCTGCTGCTACAGAGACAGCCTTGCCTGAAGGGGCTCCTGAAGCCCCTCAGGGTCATGGTCATAGGGAACCTCCTTGTCACGTTCCCACTGTGCTCTGAAGGGGTGATGGGTGTGTGCAAAATGGAATCAAAATATCAGTGTGATGGCCAGTGGCAAATGCAGGCAACTGTGAGAGAGGAAGTTCCAACAAGGAGCAAAAAAATCAATTAGCTGATGTCAGGAAAATTATTTCTAAAATACACGGTAGTATATGGGCACTAGAGAAGCAAAACAAGTGTGGACAGCAAGTGTAGGTCACTACAGAAAACTGTTATGAACAAGAAGAACAATACACAGAAAGCAAGCTTCGTTTGCACGCCTGTCAAGAGAGGGCAGCATGGAATAAGCGTGTCTGTCCGCATATTTGGTATCAGTCGTTCCCTTATTAATAATGTTTAATTCAGGTCCCAGAAACTTAGATTTTAATTCCTTAAAAAAATAGTTATAAATAAGATTGAATGGAATCAGCAGGTAGTTTTCTTTTTTCCCAGTCATTACAGTGTCTTTTTTTTTTTTCTTTTTTAAAGATTTATTCACTTATTTTAGAGAAGGCACACATGCAGGGCTGGGGCAGAGGGAGAAAATCTCAAGCAGACTTCACACTGAGTGTGGAACTCAATGTAGGGCTCGATCTCATGACCCTCAGATCGTGACCTGAGCTGAAATCAAGAGTTGGCCACTAACCAACTGAGCCACTCAGATGCCCCTATTATCTCAGTGTCTTTAAAAAAAAAAAGAGAGAGAGAGAGAGAGAGAGAGAGGCGCCTGGGTGACTCAGTGTGTTAAAGCCTCTGCCTTTGGCTTAGGTCGTGATCCCAGGGTCCTAGGATCGAGCCCCGCATCGGGCTCTCTGCTCAGCGGGGAGCCCGCTTCCCCCCTCTCTCTTTGCCTGTCTCTCTGCCTACTTGTGATCTCTGTCAGATAAATAAATAAATAAATAATCTTAAAAAAAAAAAGATATATCATCTCTTTAGAAAAAATTTCCAAGATGAGATGTGTAATAGGGAAATTTTCAAAAGAATAAAAAAAGGAAAAAGAACCACCTATCGTGTCACTGTCTAGAAATAACCACTGTTATTTATTTCGACACATTTTCTAGGTATTTTTTAGTGTGTATATATGTCAATTCCTTAAAATCAAATTTCATTTTTAGCAGTGAAAATGGAAAGATAAACTTTAAAATATCTGTTATGTAGCATCAGCATTTCATAATGGAAGAGGGAGTGAAAATACATCGAAGGTAAGAAAAATGAAACTTCTTAGGTAAAAAGAACTAATAAAATTGATCTTAGTTCTCTGTGACGGCAAATTTAAGAGAAAAAAAAAAAGAATAATTGAGAAAAAGAAAAGAAGGGAATGTGAGTGATTTGGGAGAGAAATAAGTTAGAGCAGCAGGCGGTCGAGTGCGTGTACGGCAAAGTAGGAAGAACAGCTCCGTGAAGAGGCAGGTGCTTTTCCACACCAGAAACTTCCCTGCAGGTCTTTAGGTGGGCAGAGGTGTATGCTGCACTTTGTTTCAAGTGTTTTTATAAAGTTTACAAATGCTGAGATGCCTAGCACTGAACAAAACAGGATAGCCTTGTTTCCAACCTTAGATGTTGTGCTTTGATTTCATTAACAGACCCTGTGATAATCTCCATTGTCAAGATCCTTTCGAAGAGACCTTATAAAAACAAACACACCAAAACTTGCATTTTATTCCGACTGATGCTATATAGCAAATTACCACAAACTTATTGTCTAAAAACAACACAACTTTGTTATTTTACAGTTTGGGGGGTTAGGAGTCTGAAATGGGTCCCATTGGGTTAAAATCAGGCTGTTGACAGGGCTGTTCCTTCAGGAGGCTCAAGGGAGACTGTCTCCCCTTGTCTTTCTCACCTTCTGGGGTGTTTCTTTGCTTGGGGCCCTTTCTTCCATTTTCAAAGCCAGAGTGGCTGGTCCAGTCTTTCTCATATGCCATAACTCTGACATTGGCTGTCCTGCCTTCCTCGTTCACTCATAAGGACCCTTGTGTTTATATTGGGTCCGCCCAGATAAGCCAGAATGACTCCCTCCTCAAGATCCTTAAATTAATCACATCTGTAAAGGCCCTTCCACCAGGTAAGGAAAGAGATTCATAGGTTCCAAGGATTACAAGGTAGACATCTCAGGGTGGCCTTTATTCTGCCTACCACAAATAGGAAGCTATATTCTGTGATTACTTTAAAGAAGAGTAAATTAATACAATCAAACATGTTCTCACCATGTTCCTCCGCAGAAATTAGAAAACATTACACAACCATACAAGAATCAGAAAGTGTTTACAAGGACCCTTAGGTCAGTATTTTTCCCGCTGGGGGGAGTCTTTCTTCCTTGTCTGCAGATCTGTCAATACTGTTTTAGCACGGGATTATTTTAAAAATTTCAAATCAGTTCACTTTTTCAGATCCTTATTTACCTTTCTTTTGCTTCTTTTCCTCATTGTTTTTCCACAATTCTGTGTTATGTGGTTATATTACAGAATAAAATATCAGGAGTATGGGAATCCAGGCTGTGAAAACTCAGTTAATTTTTTTCATGAATTCCTATCCTTGGCCGTCAGTGAGGAGTTTGAAGATGTGTGTAGAATGTCACAATAGTTCAGATCAGGGAGGTAGAGATTCTATAGAAATAACTTGTGTTACAGCTCCCTGTACAACATCAAATCAAACCAAGCAGGAGATGCTTCCTACTTTTTGCAGGTTTTTCTCTGCAGAATGATCTTATTTATCACGTTTGCACTTTAAATGCCTACTTTGAAGGAAGGCATCACACACCTGTGTGTGTCATCTCCTAGGTCTCTCCTTTCATGGCTTCAGCTTTGTACTCTGTCCATTAGGTGGATGACATGCAAAGGGGATGTCCTCTGAGTTGCTAGGATACGGGCACCCTGACGTAACTACTGCGGGGAGGAACACCGGAATGAAACGGAAGGGCCTGCATTTGATGTCAGTCCTTCCATCCACTCCTAAGAGAAAGTAACAAGGGTTTATTGTTTCTCAAAACCTGTCAAGAGTGCTTGACACTACTGTGAATTCTCACCTGCATACAAGATTTTTATAAAAATTTCCCAGAAAATTCTAATTCACTATTCATTTCTTCTACTAACGCATCCTTTTCAGTGTTTCCTGCCTTTGCCTAAGTATTCCCTGAAGGCCTATGCTCAGCCTCTTTCTGCTCTGTTGGTGGGATTCTGTCAGCGGGGAAAGTCAGGGTTTGGCAGCCTCACTTACTGATCCCCTAGGCTGGCATTTCTGGCATTTCTGGCAGGCATGGGAGCGACAAATGGGACAGAATATATCAAGGGATAGTTTATCCCTTTTCTTTTTTTTAACCTAACATGTATGTTTTTATATAACATATTCTTACACAAATTTAAGTTGAGAGTTTGGTGTATAGATCTGATATAGTGTTATTTTCTATATTGAAGGAACAGAAAACTTACGCTGTCCTAGGCATTCTATGATATATGATATATACAATATATAATCAAGTGAGGTTGTGTGTGTTTGTGTGTATAAAAGACCCGAGAGCCAGAGACACACAGAGACAGAGAAAGTGAAGAATGAATAGAAACCACTCTCAAAGCCCTAGCTGTATCACCCAGGTATATCAGGGAAGTGAGACTCTGGACACATCAGGAGACCTGAGCTAGCTGGGGATGTAGAGAACATAGGCAGGACTGGCAGGGGACACAGGTGAGTTGATAAAAAGTCTGGATATCTTCAACCGAAGTTCTTGAACTTCATCCTGGAAGGTCTTAATTTAATAGGATTGTACTTCTTAACATAAGAAGAGATGATTATGTTAATAAATTATACATAGAGAGGAAAGAAATTTTCTGTGATCAGTTTACTAAAAACTGTGATCAGTTTTTACTACATCAATTTAAGAATTTTTAAATATTCCAACATATGCCTTATTTCCTTGAGTTATTTTACAGCAGAAACCTTTTCTTGTGGGCCCAGCGATTACAGGATCACAACGGACCAGGGTTCCCCAAACATGCTTTAGAAGATATTGTTGAAAAGTGTTACAGAAGCACACAGTTTCCTTGACTTGGTTTTTAATCTAATCTGTAGTGTGACTTTGAGCAAATAACTTTATTTCTTTGGGTTTTCTTGTTTTTTTTTTGTTTTTGTTTTTGTTTTTTTTTTACTTGCAAACCAAGGAGGTAGGAAGAAACAAAATGGTCTCTATGCTCCCTTGTTCTAGTAGTCTGTAGAAAATATCCCATAATCAGCCTGCCTGGAACATAGATACCAAGCTTGAGGTGAAGTTTCATCCGCAAGGATTGAAACAGTGATGAATGGCATATTTAAGAAAAATATATAATCAACCAGAGTACTCTGATAATGGCTTAGTGCACATTGCCTGGAGGAATCATTTTTAACAAAGTCATGCTTTTAAAGGCTAATTTTAATTTTTGCCTCGACCGTAAGTAAGGACTAGCACCTGAAGTATATAGGTCAGTACCTTCTAAGATGTATTTCAGTGTGTGCTCACCAAATCAGTTAGACTTTTAAGTGCAAGTGAAAATGCCTTTGAGTTCAGGTATAGTGGAAAAACTTGGTCTAAGTGGAGAAAATAGAGGAATCACATGCTGATTAGTGTTCTTCCTCCAGGATGTCAATGTGGTGGGAGAGAAAATGAAGGCATTTCCAAATAGCTTTTTTGGAGGGGAGGGTGACTTTTGTTCGATGTACTTATATTTATTTCCTTAAAATACGAACCATCAATTAAGTTGTTCCTATCCTTTGGGCAGTAGTTGAATACTGTGCACTCTTGACTTCCATGAATTATGTAAGACAGGTATTTCTTTTCATATTTTATAGCTCATAATACCAAGGTTCAAAAATTTTAGAGATCATTCCTACCTAAGGCCCTAAAAAGTAGAAAGTTACAAAACTACAAATGAGTGCAATATGCAGTCGTGGTATATTCATTGTTTGTAAACAGTATCAATTTTCTAAAATATGACCAAATATATAACATTTCTCACAGAGAGTTGTATATATACTGTATAAAAGTCTCCCCAAATAATGTAAACCCCCATTGAGTTTTCAAGATCTATTCTTGGAAGAGTCTTGTTTTAGGACTGTAGCCAGTTTTAACTACTAGCTCAGAAGCTACATTACATAGTGGAATTGAAATTATAATGGCCCAAATCTTCTTAATCTTTGATGTCAGATGAGACTAGATAGGCACATGAGTGAGCAGAAGATGTTAGGTGGGAAGTACTTTTTATGACAGGAAATTACTTTTGTCATAGTTTGGGTTCTTCCCCAAACAGTTCCCCAAACAAGGACTTGGCTAAAGGCAGTTTATTTGGGAGGTTATCCTGGAAAGCCCAGGGGAAGGAGTAGAGTTCATGAGACAAGGGTGGGAGAAGGATAATAGAAGGCATATCGAAAAGTGAGGGACAGTGGCCGTCAGCTGGAGCTCATTCCCCTTGGGGAGCCTCCAAGAAACCTTTTGGTTCTTGGGGATGCTGGGGCATTGACTCACTGATTCTGCCCCCGACTAGTTCCGGGTAGGCTGTGAGACTATCAGCTCTTGCGCATGTCCTGGTTGCACCTGTCCATGGCTGACCAGCCTCCCTTTGAGCCCAGGAAGGTCTGTGGAGGAGCAGGTGCTTGAGGCAGGAACCTGTCACTGTACTCAGTGTGGTACCG